ACCTTCCTTTCACCCATGTCTCAATCACCATGCTTTCTATTCTTCATATGTTTTTATTGAATCTTTTAGAGAGAAAGGAAGGAAGAGAGAGAGAGAGAGAGAGAGAGAGAGAGAGAGAGAGAGAGAGAGAGAGAAAACATTCATCAGCTACCTCCCTCAGGGATTTAGCCCCAAACCTGGGTATGTGCCTTGACCTGGAATTGAACTAGGGACTTCTTGGTGCATAAAGGAGAGTCACTCAACAGAACCACAAAACCATGCAAGCCAGGGCATCGCCACACTTTAAAACTGCATTTCACTTTTTCATTTTGTTTGTGGGGGAGTCATGCTTAATACTTGTCCCTTAGAATGTTATAAAGTGGTGTATGGATAAGAAGTGTAGTGTTCAAAGAATTTGAAAAATATTTGGCAACTCACAGCTCACTTGTATCTTCATATCTCTAACACATTTTTATTCTGCTGTCATTTTTATGCTGTGTAATTTCCTCAGGACCACTAAATGACTAGAGTAACTTCAACGTTAGTGTGTGTGTGTGTGTGTGTGTGTGTGTGTGTGTGTTGCTTTTGATACAATTGAGCCATTTTATTTTTAAAGCAAATAAAGTCTTTCAGGAGCTCCCAACTAAACTCCTTTCTTCCATCTCACTGGCTAGAATTAGATACCATGCCTGTCCTACATTAGCCCTTGGGGAAAGAAATAGGATTGGGTTAAACAGAATCGACTCAGTGAGGCTCAAAAGAAGTCCAGAACCGCTCACCCCTACAGTAGGCCACAATTCTAGAGAATAGAGTTCTGATAGCAGAGACTCTCAGGAAGGGACAGACAGTTGTCTGCCACAGCAGGGGAAGTAACTTTATTTTATTTTATTTTTTTATGAACTGGTCACTTCTGATTTTCTTGATATATAAGGGTACATTTTTTTTTCTAGTCCTGACAAGCCCAAAGACAAATCTATCCCTTAAGTCTTAGAGCCTTTAATATTCTAAGGTACCTGGTGTCTCTCCAAGAGAGGGATAAAGCCAGCAGTATTTCACAAATAATAAAACTGCTCATTATTTAAAACAATGCAATTATTTTTCAAGGCATTCTTTCTGGGATGAATGTCTTTATGAGTACGGTTCAGAAACTGCTCTCCTGAATTATTAGTCTGAACCCATTTCATAGTATATATTTTATAGTGGTCATAATGCCTTCAAGATTGCCTCTTTTAAGTACTATAAATTATAAGAGAAATTTGTAAAGTAGCAGGTTTTAAAATGAATGTTAGTAAAATGAATGGCCCTGTAAATAAGAATAGTAAAATGTCTGGATGGTGGGGTCACTGGAAAATTCTTTCAAACTTGCATTATGTTTAAATTGTTTCTTGAGAGTTGAGAAATAGTAACCACAATAAAACAAAGAATAAAACAAAGAATAGCTTTTATGTATATGACAAAAAAAAAAAAAAACAGTGATAATACACACTGCAACACACACACACACACACACACACACACACACACACACACACATACACACACACACTCTGAGTGGCCAGATTATGATTTCTGAACATATAATAATCTGGCCACTGTGTGTGTGTGTGTGTGTGTGTGTGTGTGTGTGTGTGTGTGTATTAGAGGCCTGATGCATGATTTTGTGCATGGGTGGGGTCTGGCCAGCCTGGCCAGGGGGAGGGGACATGGGCAGTTGGCTGGCCTGCCTGCTGGTCAAATGCCTGGTCGAGGGGACAATTTGCATATTAGCCTTTTATTATATAGGTTAAACTGTAATATGTTATAACTGAAGAGCTATGTGGAAAAGATAAATTTTTATTTATTTTTCATACTGTATACCAAAATATTTTTTAAGTGGATCAGGTATACATCTTTAAAAAACAGATTCTAGAAGAAAACATGGATCTTCTATACTCTGAGAATGGGGATATTTCTTTCCAAACATGACTGAAAATCCACAAGCAATAATAATAAAAAAAAAACCCTGATAATTAAAAAACAAAACAAAACACAATTTTTACATAATGTAATTTTATTTTTAAAAGAAATACCTAAATTTTTTTAAAAAAATACAAACTGGGAAAAATAGCTGTACTTAATCTCAAGGAATTAATATTAATTAATAAAAAGCCATTTAAGATAGTGAAATGACCAACTTTTTACAACAATTGGCTAAGTCTGTGGTCGGCAAACTGTGGCTGGCAAGCCAGATGCGGCTCGTAAGCCACGGTTTGCCGCTCTGTTGACTAATGATTTTGCCAACCACTGGGCTAAATTATAGACAGAAAAATAAATACAATGGCTCTTTTAAAGGAAGATGTTCAATTTCCCCCAAAATAAGAAAATTTCCAATAAAAATACACTTGTAGCATCTTTTTTCATGTCTGATTAAAGATGATACAAGTTTGACAATACACTTGGGTGGCGAGGTGGTAGGGAAATGAACACACTCATCTTTTGCCTGTGGGAAAGCAAGATGGTACAAACCTGTTAAAGAGCAATCTGCCAATAATTAGCAAAAACACATATGAATTTACTCTTTAACAATGCAGCCTCACTTCTCAGAATCTATCACCAAAATACCCAGACAAAAAGTGAAAAGCACATATTTGCCCAAAGATTTTCATGACATTACATTATTTAGACTGTTAGACATGATTGTTTTTCTGAAAATGTTATCTGCATACCATGGGATAAAATGAATGAATAATCACAATGGTATCATTAAGAATGAGCATTTTTCTCTGAAAAAGGGGACATAGCGGTGTTAGAAAATGCCCTCTAGTTCTGGTTTGAATTGGAAGTAGCAGAAGGAATTCATGAGGAATTTTACCTTAAAAAAGAAAATTCCTACACTAACCCTTGCCTGTGTGGCCCAGTTCGTTGGGTGTCATCCTGTGCACCAGAAAGGTTACCAGTTCAATTCCTGGTCAGGGCACAAGTTTGGGTTGTGGGGCTCAATCTTTGGTAGAGGGCGGGCAGGAAGCAGCCAATTGGTATTGCACTCTCACATTGATGTTTCTCTTTTCCCCTCTCCCTTTCTCTTTCTCTAAAAATCAATAAAAACTTCATTTGAAAAAAATCCTCCTCTAAACATTCAGAAAGGCCTAACTCAAGTGACTAGCAGTGAGCATCAGTTGATTGATATTTAAATGTAACAAAAACCACAGAAGGTCTGCATTATAAGATAGTGATGTGTAACTCTGAAAAGGAAAGATGCAAATTCAAGTAATTTGGGAAAGTCTGAGTTTTCTTCTTGGAAATTATACTTTTTTATAGTAGTAAATGCTCCAAACAATTCTCTGGTAAAGAAGTCTACCACTATGTAACTGTTGGAACCCTTCTCAGGAGAATAAGATGGGGCACAGAATTCCTGTTGTGTCTTCACTACACAAATGCGCTGTGGGAAACAATTTGGGGATTAGCGCTGTGAAAGTGGAAGGTGATCAGTGGCTCATTATTTCTCATGGAGGGACGAGAGGTCTGAAGAGTTCCTGATACCTTGAACTAAGTGACTGTGTAATTTAATATAACTGTTGTTTAGCATCTGCTGGATACTAAATGCTTTGTTCAATGTTGGGAATAAGGAAAGAAATGAAAGTCTGGGAGATAGATGTTAGAGCATTAAAATATAGTGCTATTATTAATTTTATAATAAATATTGGAAGTGTTTTGTAAAATCTTTCATTGTGATTGAGGGGCTCAGTGTAGGCTACCATTAAATTGTACCATGGAGAGACAATTAAATTATGATGGGCAAAAGCAAGGGGGAAGGACATTTCTAGCAAAGTAAGGAGCATGAGCAAAAATTGTCTAACATTGGAGTTTATGATGTATTCAGGGAAAAAAATAGCCATACTTGTCTGGAACAACAATAAAAAAGTACCTGTCTGGAACAACGATAAAAAAAAAAAAGTGTACCTGTCTGGCAATAAAAAAAAATGTAGGGAAAGCCTAGGATAGGCTAACATAGGGACAAGGCTTTGGGGCCTGACAAGCCTGAATGGTCATCATTTATCTGTCTGTAATTTCTGTAAATGGCCATGGAAAGATGATTTAGTCTGTGTAAGGCTCAGCTTTCCCATCTGGATAATGAGGATAAATAATATTTATCTCACAAAGTGAGGCTAGAAAAAATGTATGCAAAGCTTCCAGCATAGTGGGGTTGGGGACACAATGTCTGTTCTCACTGTTACTAGGCAGATGGGGATGAACATTCTCAGTTGTCATTGGAAAAGGCTTGGAGGCAATGGAGAGCCATTGAAGCATTTGGAGAATGAGGATGAAGTGATTAGCTTTGTAGTAGGAAAGATGGACACAGAGGGATGAGTAGATGGAGACATGTGGCATTGCATCCTGATGGGAGACGAGGAGCCCTTAGATAGGGCATTTTTAGTTTGGCCAAAACTGTTCAGTGTATCAGAGGTAGAACTGATGGAACTTGGCAACTCATTAGCTCCATGTACATGTATGTGGTTAATGGGGAGTTAGAGTCAGGAAACAATGAAAAATGATACCAAATTTTTTAGCCCAAGTATATGAGTTCCCAATAATACCATCAATCAGACAGTCAACCGAGAAGGTGGATGGGGTAGATATATAGAAGGTATTGAGTTCCATGTGGAATTTTATTTGTTTTCCATAATTTCATTTCAGCCTTTGATCTTTCTAGAGTAAGTTAGCTTTAAAGATTTGAATGTGACATCCAAGCTCCTAATCCCAGTGATCCCTTGATTCTCTGGGACCACCACATTTTGAATAGTGTAGTGGCTGCTTCCGACATTCGTGTAATAATGATTGGAAAGATTAGTGTGATATGCTCTAACGTCCACTACTAAAAACTACCTAATATGGTGATCACATGTGGCTCTGTGGCTTGTACCATCCTAGTCCTCAAAACATTGATTGATATAAGCATAGTTGAAAGTAAAGGCAAATTTGGACATTCTACTCAACATTCTACTCAACGCCAATCTTTGTGTGCTTCTTGTTTTAATGTGCAGGACAGGAGAGAATTGGAAAAGATTCCAACTATGAGCAGGAGGGGAAAGTTCAGTTCGTGATTGACGCAGTCTACGCGATGGCTCATGCCCTACATCACATGAACAAGGATCTCTGTGCGGACTACCGGGGCGTCTGTCCGGAGATGGAGCAAGCTGGGGGCAAGAAGTTGTTGAAGTACATCCGCAACGTTAATTTCAATGGTGAGTCTCCCAACATATGTGGTTTTTAGGAGTCCTGTTTTATAAGTCTACTTTATAAGTTATGTATTGAATGATTATTTACTCTTGAGTATGTGTCAAAACCTGGTTGATTATCTAATTTTAAAGATTGAATCAATATATGATGAATGAGTGAGCAGTGAGAGAGTAGTGAGTGAACGAGTGAATAAATATTTGGGAGAATGGTTTTTCTTCCTTTCCTTAAAATAGGTGTTTACATGAAGTCAAATTCTTCCTCAGTGAATATAAATTCAGAACTGTGAAAAAAAAAAAACCACATATTTATTAGTTAGTGTACACTATCTCTATAGTTATTTTTGTCTCCAGTCTTATAGTATTTACTCAAATACTGTCTTCCTAAAATATTTGCGTTCGTTTTTTCCCCCTCACTCTCTTGAGTGTGGTTCTGTTTTCAATTTGCAATCTAGTTGGTTTTATTCATGATTGCATTGATTGTGGTTAATCATGTGATGATTAATTTTATGAGGCAGCTTGACTGGGCAAAGTGAAGCTTGGGTAGCTGGCAAAGCAGTACCATTGGGTGCATTGTGAGGGTGTTTCTGGAAGAGATTAGCATTTGACTTGGTGAACTGAGTGAAGGAGAGAGAGCTTTCCCCAAGGTGGATGAGCTTCCTTCAGTGCCCCCACCCAAGGCCTAAAGAGACCCAGAAGGAAGAAGAAGATCAAATTCTCTCTCCTTCTTCTCCTGCCCTCAGACATGGTCGCTCCTGCTTCTCAGGCTTCAAGACACATAGAGGGGCCTTCAGATTCAACCTTAACATGCCGGAAGGTTATAGCAACACTTCTGATGTCTTATTGCCAAAAATACATGCCCCAATCTAATAATAAGGAAACAGAGGACAAAGTAACTGGTACTCTTCAAAAGTATTTACATCGTGAAAAAGGCTGGAGGAGGAATTGTTCCAGACTGGAAGAGACTAAGGAGACATTACTATTAAATGACGTGTGGGAAAATTAATTGATCTAGAAAATGGACACTAGTGAGACAATGGAGAAATTTTAATAAAATTTGCAGATGAATTTTAAGTAGTGCTATAGCAATACTATTGTAGAAGCTGGGAGCACGAAGATCCATGCAAGAATAGGCCTTCCTTTTTCTGGCTGATGGTACCACTTTGCTCCCACCAGCCCCACCTTTCAGCCTTCTCTCTGTAGACTGTAAGCCAACACAGGTGTGTGGCAACTTTCTGGCACACAGTAATCATTCCATAAACATGGGTCCTGTGTCTCATCCATAGGTCAGCATCTCTGGCCAGAGCCACCTTCCACCTCTCGCCCTGTCACATCAATTTGCTATTTCCTCCTTATTGGCTGTGGGTGCCACCATCTTTTCACAGAGTTATGGTCAATTTGCATATCCCATCTTTATTAGATAGGATTAGTTTCCTGGATCAGGTGATTATATTACGGTTAAAGGAAACCTTCTCCCTTTTTTGCTTATAAACAACAATCTACTTAAACCCACAGTATTATATCAATCTTCCAGGAGTTCTCTAGTGTTTGGATGAAAAGGAACCACACCCTATTTGGGGATCAACAGTTCTCTAGTTTAGATGGAAACAAAATGACTGTGTGTTGAACCAGAAAGTATTATAGTCTAACTACAAATGATCTTATTTTTATAGTTTCTTCCTTATTTTACAGAATCTCCTAAAATATAGAATTAATTTTCCCAGAAACAGACACATGCAAATTGCATTATTTATCAAACACTAAATTCCATTAGCTGGGTCAGTCTCTGGGCTTTGTATTCTGGTTCATAGATATGCATAATCAATCTTACAAGAGTGACCAAAATTACCGTTTTGAGACTGTTCTTGGTGACTCTTCCCCCATTCTTCTTCCAAATAGTGCTCCATAGAATCATTTTGTCAAAACGGTCTTGTCCATTGATGAGCCAGAGATGCTGAGCTACAGATGAGACACAGGTCCCATGTTTATGGAATGATTACTGTGTGCCAGAAAGTGTGCTACATACCTGTGTTGGCTTATTTAATATTTAGGACACCAACATGTGTATTATTATTCACACACCCCCTTTTTTTTAAATGATAAGGAAACTTCACAGAGAATTAAGAATCATGATAGTCAGAACCACAGATCTTGGTAGTGATGCTGCTGCACTGGTCCTTGGGCACCTAACCCCACAGGTCTGAGAGGAAGGGCTACTTCATTCCTGCTTCGTCTTAGAGTGGATGCTCTGTGGAAGGTCACAGGCAGCATCAATCGTTTGTTTTGTTTTTCTCATTTTTTTTTCTCTTTGTCAGCATTGCAATCATGCCCTGTGGTCCACATAATCGCCTTTTTTTCTGAGGACTTTTTTCCACTGTAAGGATAGCCAGGAGACCTCTGGCTCCTGAGACACTGTGACATTTGTTGATGGTGGGGCTCGGCAGTTTTATAAAACAGAACCTGGGCTAGATTTAGTTAATGGATTCCATATCACTTTATGTGAACAGCTATTCATGAAAAGAAATTCGCCATTTTTCACTCATTTAATTTCTTTTATATAAATAAATAAAATACTAGAGAGGAGAGAAATATGTGTTCAAAACTCACAGTTAGCAAATGACAGAGACAGATCAAGAAAGCAAGTCTCTTCTAATCTGTTGTGAAAAATAGCCTTTCTTTAGCATGTTTTAGTAGGGTTTTGATTTTTTTGGTCTCAACTAGGCCTACGTGTTCTCTTCTGTGACTTTACTACAAAACTTTCTTCACCCCTAGGAGTTTTGTTCCAGACCAATAGAGCACAGTTTAATAATTCTGACCCTCACATTTACAAAAGCATCAATTTAGGAAGTGATAATAGAATGTCCTGAAAATATTGCTATAGTTTTACCAAGCACTTAACCTCTTCTTGTGATGCACCAAGAGAAAAGATGACTTATTTTATCTTCATCGCTTCTGGCCATGTTTTTCTTTGCATCCCAAATGATGCAATGACCTGAGCTTAAATTTGATTTATGTGGTTATACCTACGTTGGTCCATGTAAGCAGATGTCAATACCTGTAGATGAAAATTTAATAGACTTGTTGCCTTGGATACAACATCTTAGAGAATTGCTATATATATAATGGCATATTTAATCTGGGATGTGTCTGTATCTGGATTTACTAGTTTCCAGAAGACAGACTGGGTTGCAGTATATTTTGTAAAGATGACACATATGTGTTTTATTTATTTAAAATATATTTTATTGATTTTTTGACTGAGAGGAAGGGAGAGGAGAGAGATGGAGAGCTAGAAACATCAATGAGAGAGAGACACTGACCAGCTGCCTCCTGCACACTCCACACCAGGGATGGGTCCACAACCAACGTACATGCCCTTGACTGGAATCGAACCTGGGTTCTTTCAGTCCGCAGATGGACACTCTATCCACTGAGCCAAACCGTGCTTTTTTTTAAATCCTCACAGGAAGATGCATTTTTATTTTTTTAGAGAGGGAGGAAGAGTGGGAGACATAGAGAGATACATCAGTTGGATGCTTCCAACTAGTATAGGCACCGCAGCTGGCGATGGAACCCACAACCTAGGTGTGTTCCCTGACCCAGAATGAAACCTGCAACCTTATGATGTTTGGGATGATGCCCCAACCCACCTGGCCAGGGCCCATGTGCTGTTTTTGAAACATGAAATATGAAGTGAGCTTTCCTTTGTCAAGAGGTGAGCTCTATGTTCCCTCCCCTTGAATCTAAGTAAGCTTGTGACTCATGTAGAAGTGACACGATGTGACTTCTAAGGCACACAAGTGAAGAAGCTTCTGCCTCATTCTCTCAGGACATTTGTATTGCAGACACAGCTACCATGTTGGGAGGAAGCCAAATAGATAGGCCACATGTGGGTGTTCCTACCACCGCCCCAGCTAAGGTCCCAGCTGACAGCTGGCTGCAACTGTGAAACATGTGGGCTTCAAGCTACCCAGCTGAGATGAGGGGGCCATAGGTGCTGTCCCCAAGCCCTGCCCAAATTGCAAAATATGGGTTATTATTTGGAGCACAAAGGTCTAGGGTAGTGTGCTGAGCAGAGCTAGATAAGTGGAATACAAATCAGTGCCATGTTTCTGGAATCTGTACATGGGGTGGGAAAGTGAGAACAGGAAACTTGTAAATACCTTGATGCAGGGGGCTGTTTGGACACCTGAGCAATCCTAGATCCTAGATCCTTCTCTACCAGGAAGAAAGGGCACCATTCAGATACTCTGACCCAATAGAGATTTCAGACTTGAGTACGTCCTGTCATCCAGCCTTTCACTATCCCATCTTGTCTAGAGACCCTGTTTCTACTACTTCAGTTCACTGGCATCCCAGTCCTGACAGCTGGAGACATTTCTACAGATGACCACTTCTTCTTTGATAATTTCTTTCTCTGTACTGCTGTGAGCCCCCTCCCCCCTTTTTTTATATGGTGGTGGGCAAAAGTAGGTTTATACTTGAAAGTATTTAAAAGTTTATTATTGTATTATTAAGTATTGTATTTTTTAAAAATTATTGATTGATTTGAGAGAGAGAGAGAGTGAGAGAGAGAGAGAGAGGAAGTGGGAGAGAGAAAGAGAGAAATATCAATTTGTTTTCCACCTATTCATGCATTTATTGGTTACTATTATACTTCTATGTGCCCTGACCTGATACGAACCCTCAATCTTGGCATATGGGGATGACCAGCTAACCAACTGACAACCCGGCCAGTGCTAATTATTGTATAAATATTTGTATTATGTAACCTACTTTTGTCCACCCCTGTATAGAATTCATTGAACATAATCCCCTTATTTTCTCTTTTAAAACATTCCAGAGAAGCTGTTAAAAAGTATTGTGGAAATAATAATCCATTAGCTTTAGAGAATCCATCAGAAAGGTCAAAACCACATACTCTATTACAAGTCATCACTTAGATAAAGTGTTCTGCTCTTCTGTCTTAATTTTTAAAGCACGAACTTTAATGATAATGGAAAGGGCATGACATGAGGCATTTTGCCTAACAAAGATTGTAGGACGAGAGAGCCATTAGATGGTGTGTCCCATTCTGGTGAATATTTAGCTGGTGAGCCTGAAATCTTTTGGAGCCCCAGGCCTCCCATATTCTTCTCTCCTCTGGAAGACAACGAAAAGCTCATCGTATTGCATAATGACTAGAAGTTATACAATTACAGGAGATCTAGTACCCAATGTGAAAGCAAAGAAAGGTGAGTATGTGAATATCACTGTCTTCCTGCAAAATTATAGGGTTATTTTCTGGCTGATAATATGTAAAATGCGGACTTTGTTTGTCTTCTTATATACTTGGAAGGCTCACTGTAGAAAGCCAATATTAAAAACTTCTCTTCATTCATTTTCCTCTGTCTGTACTGGAAAGGCTCCTTTGATTCCTATATAAAGAGCTTCAAAGATCCTATTGGGATACAGTGGTTGCCTTCATGGGCTCTGAGGGTAGTGTCTAGGTACAATTTTGATGAAACAAATTGATGTGTTGCTTTTGGACAAACAAACTCAGCCACTGGCTCAAGCTGGGGAGACCACACCTGTGTAACCCATAGATCACGCCCTCTCTCTCAGTGGGCTCTAGACTGCTGTTTGGAAAATGGAAGATGCTTATCCTAATGGAGAAATTGAAATTAGATGCACATTAGGAGAGTCAGCTTTAGCGCATTGGAAAGTGTCGGTATCTGAAGGCATGTGTTCTGGTCCTGAGATATCAGTCAATAAAACAATGGTAAAAATAAAAACAACTATATGTCCTAGCCAATTTGGCTCAGTGGATAGAGCGTTGGCCTGCAGTCTGAAGAGTGATGGGATCAATTCCAGTCAAGGGCATGTACATCAGTTGCAGGCTCCTCTGTTTCCCCTGTCCTGGTTGAGGTGTGTGCAGGAAGCCACTCGCTCTCTTTGGCTATGATCCCTGCCTCCATCACTCCAACCTCCTGTTTTCATCTTCCCATCTCCCTCCTTTGACTCCTACTGCCTCTCATTTCTAAGGGCCATTATAATTATACTGGATCCACCCAGATTGTCCAGGACAATCCCCCCTGCCCCACATGATCTTTAATGCCATCAATGAAAAAACCCTTTGGCCCCAAATGGTAACAACCACGGGTTCTGGAGATTAGGACATGGACTGTCTTGGGGAACCATTATTCAGCCTACCACAGCTCTATTTTTTTTTAAATTTAGTACTAGAAATGTCATAAAATCCTGTGCCTAATAGTTGTAAGATGGTGTGGAGTTCTTTAGCTGCCTCCATATTCCGCCGATAATGTTGGACAAACCCTCCTCATGGGAGTCACTTTCAGCACAGGATTGCAGTCTTGTCTGCCTCTTATTCTTCTGATTGGACCTTTTCTGTGACTCCCTTCCTGTGTTGAGTAATCACTTGTGTGTGGCCTGTTTCACCATCTTGCCTGCTTCCTAAGTGCTGGCATCTATTCCTACCTTTAAGTACTGCCTCCCTCCAGTTCACATGCTTTTGCTTTTCAGGTAGATCATTAATATAAATGTCGCCATAGCCCAAATGCTGCAGAGGCTAATGATTTTGTTAGCCAGGTGCAGAGCTCTGCCACCAGGAGTCTTAAATTTACAACCAGAATTCACAACAGTGCTTCATCCTCCTCTCCCAAAATAGCCAAATGAACTTCTGTTCCCAGTGATTTTATTTCAGCTTGTAAACTCCCTGTAAACTTCCTTGTAAAAGGCAGGGACTAGAGCACTGTTTCTTCTGAGGACTATCCAGTGTGAACCTGACGGCAGAGCAGAGATCAGCCTCACGCCTGAGACCACCCACCTCTATCCTGTTTCTGGCGAATCCAAGGGAGAGAAACTGCATCCAGTGACCAAACCTTTGGCGATTCCTATGTAACTGTTCCTGAAACTAACCCAAATTCACAAGTTTTCATTCTCTGTATGTGGCTTGCCAATTGTTCCATGGGATTGATTATTAAGGGACTTTTTGTTCATATCCCACTTTCAAAGATATATATATATATATATATATATATATATATATATATATATGTATGTATATATATATAATCTCTCCTTTTCTTTCTCTTTATTTTTCACTCTCTAGCTTTCTATCTCTCTAGCACACTCTAAACAAATCTATTGGTTTCCTCTTAAAATGAACATTTTAATCATGTGAAGTTCAAATGAAAGATTGAGAAATAAATTAATATTTATAAAACACATGCCAGGCACACTGCTAAGCATTTTACACTGTTCATCATATAAAGTAATATTATATAATAAAGAGCTAATATGCTAATTAAACTGGGCAGCAGAACAACCTTCCTGACAACCAGTGGGCTGGGTGGCAGGGCCCCAGGGCCACAAGGCAGCCTGGACTGCCAGGGCAAAATTCATGCATCGGGCCTCTAGTTTAGAAATAGTCACCCAAAAAAATTATAAATTATAAATTATAAATGTAATCAGTATCTGAGTACCTTTTAAGTAAAACTTTTTTGCTTTTTTTTTTTTGTGTGTGTGTGTGTGTGTGTGTGTGTGTGTGTGTGTGTTTTCTTTTGTTTTAAATCTGGCATGCCCCTTTTAAGTTTATGTATTTGTTTATTATTTTACAAATGTCTGTTTATGATCACAATTTAGGTGGTTGGAGTCTAAACAGTTCTAATTAATTATAATGAACTTGAAGTACTCTAGAAAGTCATTTATTTTTATTCTCCACAGTAAAAATATTAGAGTGAAATATTAAGAAATACTGAGAAACAGAACTGCTCATAAAAAGAGGCCGTTTGTTTTCCCACCTCCTGTCAATAGCATCTGTCGGCCCCAGTGGTAGCTTACCCTGACTGAGCCTTCAAGACCATTTTGGGGGAACTTGTTAAACAATGGGGTTATGTACTAGCTATGTTGTCCATTAGCAGGTCTCTGGACCATCACCAGTGGCATAAGAGATGGAAGGAATCTTGCTTCACTCTAAACTCTGTCACTGTCTTGCCTTCTGCAGGGAGTGCTGGCACCCCGGTCATGTTTAACAAGAATGGAGATGCCCCGGGGCGGTACGACATCTTTCAGTACCAGACAACCAACACCACAACCCCCGGCTACCGTCTGATTGGACAGTGGACAGATGAACTTCAGCTCAACGTGAGTTCTGTTTTGTCCTCTTCCTTTGCTTGTGTGATACATGAACAGGCTTTTGATTTGCTCAGTAGGCAAATGGTTTTGTTTGCTTGTGTATACATGAGTGAACAGGCAACCTGTTAACAGGCATCAGCAGGGACTGGTAATAATACAACATTGAGAGTGATGGTGTTGATGATGATAAAGATGATGATAGGAAACATGTGTGGAGTTCCTATCAGATGTTATACTAGCACTGATGGGACTGATCTCATTTAATCTGAGGCTTAGATTGCTTAACAATCAAATAAGTAGATAATACTTTAATACTTTCACAAGATCTCTTGATCAGACCTTCCTCCCTTCTTCCCTCTCTCCTTTCCTTCCCTCCTTCCTTTCTTCTTTCATTCTCCTCCTTTCTTCCTCCCTCTATCCTCCCTCCTTCCCTGCCTTCTTTTCTTCCTATTTAGTGGTTTGTTTATTTTTAATGCATTTTAGTGAGTTGCTTTGTTGTCTGTTGAGATTTTCTGTGTAATTGGAACTTCATCTATTTCCATAACCTCTCCCTCTTCCTATACTATGTGACCTTGAGTAAGCAGCCACTTCCTTGGGTAAAGTTATGCCCAAGTGCACATGACAGCAGCTGTGAGGAGCTCATATGACACTGTTAGGTTAACTTGCTGAGTAAAGGACAAGCTTCTGGAGTTTTCAAGATGAAGGAGAAGGAATGGGATTCACTGTAGGCTTTGGGCTGAGTTGAGTGAGTAAAGCAGGTTTACGGAGGCTGGGGCCCATTTTGCTTTGGATTCTCTTAGGGAGTAGAAATAGTTTCATGATTTTTATCTAGGAAATGGAAGGATTAAAGATAGGTGAGATTTGTCATTAACAAAGAAACAGTAAGCACTTATGTGAACCGAAAAAGGAACTTTTAGTTATTTTTGTGGTTCCAGAGTATCCTTGTCTAGTTTCAAACATGATGGCAGAATTGTCTTGTTCCACCATAGAAATGAAGTGGCCTTGTCTGATTAACTTTTACATTTTGCTGAGATTGTTTATGTTCTATTTGAATTTGCCTGCACAGCTGTTAGCTGATAACTGCAGAGCCACTTTTTCTTAATATTTTAAGTTGAACATTTAACAGGTGCTTCTAATAATAGTTACAATGCTTATTTGGAATTACTAGTTTTAAATAAATATACCAACTTTCCCAGGTTATGAAGAACATATCTCCACCCTGGCTGAGCCCAGCACTCCTAGAGTTTAGCACACTATGCATCCTTACATTTCCTCTCCTCCCAGGAGGGAATGCAATAGGCCTTCCCACAGAAGATGGCTAGTTTCCTGGAGCCTGGGGAGTGGGGGTGGGGTGGGGCAGAAGTTGGAGCAGTAGGTGAGCCCAAAGGGTAGTAATTCAAAACACAATCAGAGTAGCATAACCTGCTGACAGACCCATAGTGTTTTGTTAGTAGGTGCTGTCTGAGTGATACCAAGATGCCTCAGCCATAACTAAAGGCAGGCAGAGCATCAAGGTCTGTGGCAAGAAATGAAGTGCTCAGGTCTATTGTGAGACACAGGAGACTAAATAACACATGAATCTTCTCTTACACAACCCCTGAACCAGTGGTAAATCCTTGGCATGTGTAATTTGTCCATGTACACAAGAATCCCCAACCAACATTCACCAACTTCAGACATTACCTGGCATTTCTCAAGCAAACTATTTTTAAGAACCAACATCAACAATGATGTTATTTGTTTTTTATTTTATCCTGCATAAGAAGTCATTCAACAAGTTCTTGTTTTGTGTTGTTGTTGTTTGGTTAAAAGTATCTCTCATGTGATAAGCATTATGAGAAGCAGTGGGTACACAGGGGAGAACAAAACAGATATTGTCCCTGTTCTCATATGTTCAGTGATCTAGGATATAGTTAGGTGGTAAACTAGTAAACAGATTTGTATGTGGAAATTCCAAGATGTAATAGGAGACCTGGTGGGAGAGTGTATAATGGGTGTGGAGAAGGACCTACTGGATGAGAAGCAGACAATGTGAGGAGTATGAGGCTTCCACCCAGCAGGTCAGAAGGCTGACATGGGGATAATGGCAAGACTAGGGTGTTGTGTCCATGCCAACAGGAGCCAGGCCAATAGACTTCTTGAGAGTTTAAGAAATTTTTATTACATTTTCTCACAGTAAGCTGAGATCAGTATATCGGTGTCAGCATCGAGCGAGTGTTTATGTTCTCTTTTATAGGGGCTGGGTCAGGGTTGCATCAGCCAGCTGGAGTAGCTGCCTGAACAACAGGATGACTTGGAAGATAACAAAATATCTGATTGGTGCACAAATGCTTGAGGCAGAGGAGAGCACCTGGGTCGGTTGGGAGTGCACCTTAAATTCTGCAGGTGCAAGCTATTTGCTTCAAACTAGGGAAAAAAAACACATTTTGTAACATGTTTTTGAAAGCATGTTTAAACAGCACAGCCCAGGGGTAATATATGCTAACATAGGGGAGAGCAGGAAGAATCAGAGCAATAGGTAAGAGCCGGAGCATGTGATCCCTATAGGCTATCTATAATAATAAAAGCATAATATGCTAATTAGACCAGACAGCCAAACAACCTTCCAGAAGAAGCCAGGGCTGCAGTGTCTGAGCCCCTTGCACGGATTTCATGCACCGGGCCTCTAGTGGTAAATATTTAATTATTATTATTATTTTTTCTGAGTGCACTTAAAAGACATTAGAAGTATTAAGAAAGTGACTGGATGGAATTTAGGGAAATTTTTTACTTTGTCTGCTGAGTAGGTAATAAATTAGAAGGGATAAGTGTGGGAGTAGAAAGCCCAAGTGAGAGTCTATTGCAGTGGTTGAGCTAAAATAGGCTAGCTAAGTGAAGGGGCTCCCACACTGCAGCATGTGCCCAATCACTTGGAGGGCTCATAAAACACGGTTGGCCTCATCCCACAGTGTCTGATTCGGAAGGTCTGGATGTGGGGAGAGGCTGAAATATTTGCCTTTCTGTGGAGCTCTGTGTCATGCTGATGGCACATGGGTTGTGAGTGGAAAGGGTAAAATTAAGAATCCCAATTTAGTGTTCTTAAATATATGAGAGACAAGATGAAATGGATATAAGTTTGTAATTCAGAAGAGTTTTGCGTAAGTTATTTTTTAATGAAATTATAATCTATAAAGTATTTAAATCCAATAGAGGAAAGAGAGAACAAGAGAGAAAAGAAAGAAGCCAAGCCTTGAAAAGCTCATAGAAAATGATAGTTTCATTTCAACTATTCTAAATGCCACCTAATTTAAAATATTGTGTTTAAGATGCCTGAACATTGCCCAAACCAGTTTGGCTCAGTGGATAGAGCGTCAGCTTGCAGATTGAAAGGTCCCGGGTTCAATTCAGTCAAGGGCATGTGCCTGGATTGCGGGCACATTCCCTGTAGGAGGAGTGTAGGAGGCAGCTGATTGGTAATTCTTTCTCATTGATGTTTCTAACACTCTAGCCTTCTCCTTTCCTCTCTGTAAAAAAGTCAATTATATATATATATATATATATATATATATATATATATATATATATATATATATTTTTTTTTTTTTTTTAAGATGTCTGAATCATTGAGATGACCATCTAGGTTTGATTCTAGGAGGCTAGACCTGGGATATATGCTTGAGCTGGCAATAAGAGGGAACATTTTTTGGTTCTAATTTGTCATGCTGACAGTGGTATAGCAGGAAGAGCAGACAGGACACCTGGATCCTCGGGTAAATCCAGTAGTTTATGTTCAGTGTTGTATGGAACCCAAAGGCATGAATGGCTGAGCCATGAACAGAGGGATGGGGAGGGGGGATGTTTAGGCCTGTGAGAGGCTGGGTTCCTTTAACTAGAGTAGCCACTGAGAGGACAGGCCTTGATAGGAGGGCATCCTGTTAATGTTTCCATGGGCCCTTTAGGATCTTATTAAAATTAATTTGAATCCAAAAGAAAAGACAAAAAGAAGGTAAATATAGAATCCAGAGGATTTTATGGTTAGTATCCTATCCAGCATCCCTGGCCCATGGTGTTCCTTTTTCTCTAATTATTCTGATTTAGTTAAAAGTTCTGTGAGAATTGAATTAGGGCAAATTGAGTTTTATAGATTTGCTTTCTTCTCATAAATGAAACAAAACAAAGCACTTCAAGTAACAAGGGCTTGTCTCATTTACAAAGACTCAGGGGTACAGTTTCAATCCCCAGTTATGTCATCTCTAGCAAATGAGAATTTCAGGAGCACTTTCTCTGTGGTCAGTAATAGTAAATGAGTCCTAGCCAATTTTGCTCAGTGGGCAGAATAAGGGTCTGGGGATTTGATTCTGTCAAGGGCATGTATCCCCAGCCTTGGTCAGGGTGTGTGTGGGAGGCAAACTATCCCATCAATGTCTCTCTCACATCCATGTTTCTCTCTGTGTGTCTCCCCCCCCAAAAAAAAATTGATGGAAAAATATCCTTAGGTGAGGATTAACCAAAAATATTAAAACATTGCAAATGAGTTTCTTAGCCCAGAAATCAGAGTTTGAGTTTCATAATCCCAGCACTGTAGGCCAGACTACTTTGCTATTCTAGATTGGGTTCTCTGGAATGTCAGTGTCCAGGAGAGGGCTGCCTGTGACCGAGTGCATGGTGTACACCAACCAGAGGAGCCACGAGATGACCACAAATGAGAATTCATGGGAAGGAAATTACAACTAGCACAGCCACTTACTCTCCCAGTTGCAACTCCCAAAAAAATCACCCTGATTTATTTTCTCAGGTTCGTATTCTACTCAGCAGATTTCATAAAACATTATTCCTGGCGGAGAAGCAGGAGAAGGGATAATGCAACACACAGACATTGGTTGTCTGCAGTATGTCAGGCAGGGTGCTAGCTAATGGAGATGCTGGGATAAAGGAGAGGCTGGCGTACAGACTAGGGGACGGGTTCTGTAATAGATACAGTGCTTTTAAAGGGCTCATGTAGGCACCGACTTAAGAAAAGCTACCAAAAA